AAAAGCGATTGTGGTATTTTTTTTTTTTATCTAGCTTCTTGTTTTTAATCTTTTTCCTTCGACTAATATAATTCCCTTTTGGTATGACAATTTGACTGCTATAAAATGCGAATATTTTAAAAACAAAAAAAAGAAAAACAGAGCAAAAATTAATAACTCCTGAGATATCTTTGTTAGGCACAATGCGTCAAAGCTGTGATCTCAGATGGTCAAATCCTAAACACCTCCTGGGCATCGGTAGAAATGCGTAATTATTAAACTCTCTCAGTTAAAAAAAGGACAAGCAGGTAAAATATGATTTGATAATTTTCTATTTAAATTTGTTGTTTATAACAGAACGGAAAAGTGATAAATACGCCGAAAAAAAATTATTCTACAATTATTGTTCCTTTAATTTTAGCGATGTTTTTATCAAATGTACGACAGGGCAAAGTTGAATCGGTGTGTCAGCTTCCAATCGTTAATCACTCTTCTTTCTGTCTTCGTATAAGTGGTTATATTATTTCGAAATGAGGTAACTACATCCAGAAGCAAAGTCTCTGATCGGGAGATTGAAAGTTTTGAGGAGAGTGGAACCAAGTCTTAGTTGCACTTTGCCCAAGGCCCTTCCTGGTTGTAGCACCTGTTAGAACCCAGGACGCCCACATTTAGAAATTGTTTTCTTGTAATTGTTCTCTTCGCTTTTACTAAGAACGTCTTCTTCGAAAATTGTACTAATGCTTACAAAACTATTCAGAGAAGTATTTTCAACTTTTCTGCATTTTAGATGTAGTTTTCTTTCCGAGGACGTTATGCAGCAGGATAATGTTTATTGTAAACAATATTTATTTTTTTTGACTATTGACATACATGTTATTGGATATCAATTTGGATGAATGCAATAAACCATTAAATCCCTGACCATTTTTTACCGGTGGTACAGAAAACGTTTAATGCCCAGCGGCCATTGAAGAGTGGTAGAGAAAATTAACGTAATTTTTTAGCCATTTCTCACCTTGAACAGTTAAATAAAGAAAAATGATTTAAACCAGGTTTTTTGAACGGTGGTAGAAAAAAATTATTCATTTGTTACCGATTGAAGAGCGAATAAACGAAAATGACGTAATGCCCAGCGGCCGGTTTTTTAATATGAAAAATTGATTTTGCAGAATGCCATTGGTGAACAGTCGTAGAGAAAAATGACCATTAATGACCAGGCACCAAGTAAACTGTTAGAGAAAATCAACATTTATGGACCACCACAGGTTAAAATGGTTTTTTAAATTGACGTAATGCCCAGCCACTGGTTGAAAGGCGTAACAAAATGTTTTAATATACCAAAACACAATGTAAACGGTGAAAGAGAAAAATGATTTTTGAAGGTACTAGTTGAATATGGTAGGAAAAATGGACGTAATGCCCAGGCGCCGGTTGAACAGTGGTAGAGAAAATTATCATAATGCCCAGCCATTGGCTGAACAGTTTCACAATAAAAATGTTGTAACCAGCCAAAATTTTGAATCAAAAAAAAACAAACGTGTATACTTTTATATCTAACGTCACCATTACATACCAATTATTTTTTTTTTTTTTATCGATTCTCAAGGAAGAAGGGTTAAAATTGTTCAGGAAAACATGGCTCAAATGGTTAATGTTTGTAATTCATTAATTATTTTATGTGTAAAAATATATTTTTGTTCTTAAATTCCGCTGGTGTCGTCTGTCGTTATTGTGTGTCCATATAAATTAAATATTACTAAAATATGTGTGAGAAATCTTTTTTTCGCAGGGTTTTTACCAAATAAAAATTCTTTTAAGTTCGATATAGTGAACCAGCAACAGACTTGGATACAATGTAGTCTTACCACTACAGCCGAGAATATTAACCCCAAAAAGCGCAAGGAGTCACCGACCACGGGGTTAGTATCAGCCATGATGATTGAAGGCAAAAAGGGATCTCTCAGATGACGCCAGATCAGAGCCAGTGGACGAATGGTACACATAAGAATAGAATCTGGAGATGAAAAAAAAAATGTCTAGCACGATGCAGTGAACCAACTTTCTTACCAATAATATAGTCTTTCCACTTCATGTCAGCTGAGAACGAATCACTCTCCTGGGGGTCGGCATTAGGCGTGATTATGCAATGCAAATGTTCATGTTCATCTCTCAGATGATTTTTGCTTTGGGGGTGTTAAAATTTTTAAAAAAAGTCATTCTTTGCCCCATTTAACAACAGATTGTAGTTGGTCTGTAAGATCAGTTGCCAATTTGACCATATCGAACTGATCATATTTAGTATCGAGACAGTTGCCTAAAACGATACATTGAGGTAGACCAACATTTTTACGGTGTCTACGGGGAAATTTTTCCGGAGCCCACAGGCTCGGTTTAACCCCGCATTAAAAAAGTCCTTGTGCCACATCCTGCCCCGCGGGGAAGTAAGGTAAATAACCTTGATGAAACAAGAACAAAAATATATTTTTACACACAAAATAATTAATGAATTACAAACATTAACCATTTGAGCCATGCTTTCCTGAACAATTTTAAACCTTCTTCCTTGAGCTTCTGAGGGTAAACGATACATTGGTTGGAAATTTGTCTCCAGCTATACTGGTCGAACTCTCTACCCTTCGAGCAGAGAGGAACCCAGACGAGGCTATTCTGAAGGGCAGAGTTTCGTCTGGTGTTGTAGATAGCTACCCGACCCTGTGTATACGGGGTCACCGGAGAATTTTAGGCCGTGCCTACGGGTTCGGTTTTGCCCCGTATTAAAAAAACGGCCTTGTGCCACATCCTGTCTCGCGGCGCGGGAGGTGGGGTAAGGTAAATAACCTTGCTTCGGGAATTACTAGCCTGCCAACCGATTCCCTGTCTTCAGTAGTGTATTCTTTTTTGCAACAAACGTCTCTTCTTTCATCTACGCGCGTGTTGCTGTTCCTTCACTCGAGTATCACCTTTGTCTCTTTGTAACCACTTTAAGGATACAACGATTTTTCAGCCGGTGACATAGGAATGGATACAATATAGTCTTTCCACTTCATGTCAGTTGAGAACGAGTCACTTTTCCGGGCTGAATGAATGCAGAAAGATCACTTTTGCTTTGGAGTCGTTAAAATTAAAAAGTCATTCTTTGCCCCATTTAACAACAAATTGTAGTTCGTCTTTAAGATCAGTTACCAATTTGACCGTATCGAACTGATCATATTTAGTATCGAGACAGTTGCCTAAAACGATACATTGAGGTAGACCAAGATTTGATAATTCGAAAAATGCTCTTGCACAGAACCCCCGTTATCAAGTGTTTTTAAGTCCCAAAAAGATGTTACATTAACTATGGATACTAGTAAAAATTCTTTACCGGCAATCTTAGCCCAGCAAAGGGCATCCAGTTATGTATCGTTCTAGAGCATTAACCTCGGCCGAATCTAATTACACAAATATTGAAAAAGCGCCTTTGACATTAATTTGGAACACTAGTAGAGCTTGTCAATTTTTATTGGGCAGGAAATTCTTGTTACAGTCTGAATATGAGCCACTAAATATCATTTTTAATCCGAAGGATAAATTACTGAAAGTTACATCCAGAATATTAAGATGGGCCATAAAATTAACGGCTTTCGATTTTGTTATCGAATATATAAAAAGAAATGCTCATCACCATGTAAATAACATATACAGATTACCATTTCAAAAGAGACAAAAACACAGCATATTAGAATATATGGAAGCGGAATTTTTGCACTGGATAGAAATTGACGTTCTACAGATAAACCGACATACCATAGAAACATTACTGGATCCAGTATTACATATATGTACACGTATAGCACATATTCGCTGGGATACACAATCACCACAAGAACGCACACTTCTCCACGTATTCCAATATGAACCCCTTATAGCACATATTCGTCGGGATACACAATCACCACAAGAAGACATCCTTCTCCATCCAATACAATATGTACTACAATAGCACATATTCGACGGGATACACAGTCAACAAATGAACACACCCTTCTCCACCAAATCCAATATGTACCCCAACAGCACATATACGCCGGGAGACACAATCACCAAAAGAAGACATCCTTCTCCACCCAATCCAATATGTACCGCAATAGCACATGTTCGCCGGGATACACAATAACCACAAGAAGACATCCTTCTCCATCCAATCCAATATGTACCCCAAAAGCACATGTTCGCCGGGATACACAATAACCACAAGAAGACATCCTTCTCCACCCATTCCAATATGTACCCCAATAGCACATGTTCCCCAGGATACACAATCATCACAAGAAGATATCCTTCTCCACCCAATCCAATATGTACCACAATAGCACATATTCAATGTGATACACAATCACCACAAGAAGATATCTTTCTCCACCCAATCCAATATGTACACCAACAGCACATATACGCCGGGATACACAATCACCACAAGACCACTTCCTTCTCCATCCAATCCAATATGTACAGCAATAGCACATATTCGCCAGGATACACAATCACCAAAAGAAGACATCCTTCTCCACCCAATCCAATATGTACCGCAATAGCACATGTTCGCCAGGATACACAATCACCAAAAGAAGACATCCTTCTCCACCCATTCCAATATGTACCACAATAGCACATATTCGCCAGGATAAACAATCACCAAAAGAAGACACCTTTCTCCACCCAATCCAATATGTACCGCAATAGCACATGTTCGCCGGGATGCACAATCACCACAAGAAGACATCCTTCTCGACCCAATGCAATATGTACCCCAATAGCACATATTCGCCGAGATACACAATCACCATAAGAAGACATACTTCTCTATCCAATCCAATATGTACCCCAATAGCACATATTCGCCGAGATACACATTCACCATAAGAAGACATCCTTCTCCATCCAATCCAATATGTACCGCAATAGCACATATTCGCCGAGATACACCATCACCACAAGAAAACATCCTTCTCCATCCAATCCAATATGTACCCCAATAGCACATGTTCCCCGGGATACACCATCACCACAAGAAAACATCCTTCTCCATCCAATCCAATATGTACACCAAAAGCACATATTCGCCGGGATACACAATCACCACAAGAAGACATCCTTCTCGACCCAATGCAATATGTACTACAATAGCACATATTCAATGGGATACACAATCACCACAAGAAAACATTCTTCTCCATCCAATCCAATATGTACCCCAAAAGCACATATTCGCCGGGATACACAATCACTATAAGAAGACAGATCAATCCAATATGTACCCCAATAGCACATCCAATATTGCAATAGAGATACACAATCACCACAAGAAGACATCCTTCTCTATCCAATCCAATATGTACCCCAATAGCACATATTCGCCGTGATACACATTCACCATAAGAAGACATCCTTCTCCATCCAATCCAATATGTACCGCAATAGCACATATTCGCCGAGATACACAATCACCACAAGAAGACATCCTTCTCCATCCAATCCAATATGTACCCCAATAGCACATATTCGCTGGGATACACAATCACCACAAGAAGACATCCTTCTCCACCCATTCCAATATGTACCCCAATTGTCCATATTCGCCGTGATACACAGTCACCAAAAGAAGACATCCTTCTCCACCCAATCCAATATGTACCCCAATAGCACATGTTCCCCGGGATACACCATCACCACAAGAAAACATCCTTCTCCATCCAATCCAATATGTACCCCAAAAGCACATATTCGCCGGGATACAGAATCACTATAAGAAGACATCCTTCTCTATCCAATCCAATATGTACCCCAATAGCACATATTCGCCGGGATACACGTCCACCATAAGAAGACATCCTTCTCCATCCAATCCAATATGTACCACAATAGCACATATTCGCCGGGATACACAATCACCACAAGAAAACATCCTTCTCCATCCAATCCAATATGTACCCCAAAAGCACATATTCGCCGGGATACACAATCACTATAAGAAGACATCCTTCTCTATCCAATCCAATATGTACCCCAATAGCACATATTCGCCGAGATACACAATCACCATAAGAAGACATCCTTCTCTATCCAATCCAATATGTACCCCAATAGCACATATTCGCCGTGATACACATTCACCATAAGAAGACATCCTTCTCCACCCAATCCAATATGTACCGCAATAGCACATATTCACCGAGATACACAATCACCACAAGAAGACATCCTTCTCCATCCAATCCAATATGTACCCCAATAGCACATATTCGCCGGGATACACAACCACCACAAGAAGACATCCTTTTCCACCCAATTATTCCAATACACAATGAAGACATCCTTCTCCATCAATTTTCCATATTCGCCAATGATACACAGTCACCAAAAGAAGACATCCTTCTCCATCCAATCCAATATGTACCCCAATAGCACATGTTCCACGGGATACACCATCACCACAAGAAAACATCCTTCTCCATCCAATCCAATATGTACCCCAAAAGCACATATTCGCCGGGATACACAATCACTATAAGAAGACATCCTTCTCTATCCAATCCAATATGTACCCCAATAACACATATTCGCCGGGATACACGTCCACCATAAGAAGACATCCTTCCATCCATCCAATTCCAATAGCACATATTCATGGGATACACAATACCACAAAAAAACATCCATATTCAATCCAATATGGATACACAATCACCATAAGAAAACATCCTTCTCCATCAATCAATATGTACCCCAAAAGCACATATTCGCCGGGATACACAATCACCATAAGAAGACATCCAATATTCTCTATCCAATCCAATACACAATCCCTACAAGAAAACACTTCTCCATCAATCCGATACCCCAAAAACACAATCACCATAAGAAGACATCCTTCTCCTATCCAATAATATGTACCCCAATAGCACATATTCGCTGAGATACACAATCACCACAAGAAGACACATCCAATCCAATATGTACCCCAATAGCACATATTCGTGATACACATTCACCATAAGAAGACATCCTTCCTCCAATCCCCAATCCAATATACACAATCACCAAAAGAAGACAATCCATCAATCCAACATATTCACATGTTCCGAGATACACAATCACCACAAGAAGACATCCTTCTCCATCCAATCCAATATGTACCCCAAAAGCACATATTCGCCGGGATACAATCACTATAAGAAGACATCCTATCCAATCCAATATGTACCCCAATAGCACATATTCGCCGGGATACACAATCACTATAAGAAGACATCCTTCTCCATCCAATCCAATATGTACCCCAATAGCACATATTCGCCGGGATACAATCACCACAAGAAGACATCCTTCTCCATCCATCCCATATTCATGGGATACACAATCACTATAAAAGACATCCTTCTATCCAATCCAATATGTACCCCAAAAGCACATATTCGCCGGGATACACAATCACCATAAGAAGACATCCTTCTCCATCCAATCCAATATGTACCCCAATAGCACATATTCGCCGTGATACACACAATCATAAGAAGACATCCTTCTCCATCAATCCAATATGTACCCCACCATATTCGCCGTGATACACATTCACCATAAGAAGACATCCTTCTCCACCCAATCCAATATGTACCGCAAAGCACATATTCAATGAGATACACAATCACCACAAGAAGACATCCTTCTCCATCCAATCCAATATGTACCCCAATAGCACATATGGGATACACAACCACCACAAGAAGACATCCTTTTCCACCCCCAAAAATATTCGCTGTGTGATACACAGTCACCAAAAGAAGACATCCTTCTCCACCCAATCAAATATTCAATAGGGATGTTCCACGGGAACCATCACTATAAGAAAACATCCTTTCTCCATCCAATCTAAAAGCACATATTCGCCGGGATACACAATCACTATAAGAAGACATCCATATCCGCCAATATACCCCAATAACACATATTCGCCGGGATACACGTCCACCATAAGAAGACATCCTTCTCCACCCATTCCAATATGTACCACAATAGCACATATTCGCCGGGATACATTCGCACGGGATATCCATCTAATATACCAAAACATATTCGCCGGGATCACCACTATAAGAAGACATCCTTCTCCATCCAATCCAATATGTACCCCAATAGCCGAGATACAATCACCATAAGAAGACATCCTTCTCCATCCAATCCAATATGTACCCCCAATAGCACATATTCGCCGGGATACACAATCACCATAAGAAGACATCCTTCTCCACCTAATCAATATGTACCGCAATAGCACATATTCACCGAGATACACAATCACCACAAGAAGACATCCATCCATCCAATCAATATGTAATCCATATTCGCCGGGATACACAATAATATAAGAAGACATCCTTTCTCCATCAATACCCCAAAAGCACATATTCGCCGGGATACACAATCACTATAAGAAGACATCCTTCTCCATCCAATCCAATATGTACCGCAATAGCACATATTCGCTGGGATACACAATCACCACAAGAAGACATCCTTCTCCATCCAATCCAATATGTACCCCAATAGCACATATTCGCTGGGATACACAATCACCACAAGAAGACATCCTTCTCCACCCATTCCAATATGTACCCCAATTGTCCATATTCGCCGTGATACACAGTCACCAAAAGAAGACATCCTTCTCCACCCAATCCAATATGTACCCCAATAGCACATGTTCCCCGGGATACACCATCACCACAAGAAAACATCCTTCTCCATCCAATCCAATATGTACCCCAAAAGCACATATTCGGGGGATACAGAATCACTATAAGAAGACATCTTTTCTATCCAATCCAATATGTACCCCAATAGCACATATTCGCCGGGATACACGTCCACCATAAGAAGACATCCTTCTCCATCCAATCCAATATGTACCACAATAGCACATATTCGCCGGGATACACAATCACCACAAGAAAACATCCTTCTCCATCCAATCCAATATGTACCCCAAAAGCACATATTCGCCGGGATACACAATCACTATAAGAAGACATCCTTCTCTATCCAATCCAATATATACCCCAATAGCACATATTCGCCGAGATACACAATCACCATAAGAAGACATCCTTCTCCACCCAATCCAATATGTACCGCAATAGCACATATTCACCGAGATACACAATCACCACAAGAAGACATCCTTCTCCATCCAATCCAATATGTACCCCAATAGCACATATTCGCTGGGATACACAACCACCACAAGAAGACATCCTTTTCCACCCATTCCAATATGTACCCCAATTTTCCATATTCGCCGTGATACACAGTCACCAAAAGAAGACATCCTTCTCCACCCAATCCAATATGTACCCCAATAGCACATGTTCCACGGGATACACCATCACCACAAGAAAACATCCTTCTCCATCCAATCCAATATGTACCCCAAAAGCACATATTCGCCGGGATACACAATCACTATAAGAAGACATCCTTCCCTATCCAATCCAATATGTACCCCAAAGGCACATATTCGCCGTGATGCACATTCACCATAAGAAGACATCCTTCTCCATCCAATCCAATATGTACCTTAATAGCACTTATTCGCCGGGATACACAATCACCACAAGAAATCATTGTAATATACAAATATCTTAGACTATCTGATGTGAAGTGAACGTAAAACGAATGAATTTGGACGATTCAAGCATCGATGAAGAAAAATAGGACGTCACCAAGAAGGAAGTCAAAATAGACGAAGCTTGAAATAATCGAATCGCATAAAGCCAATTCGCTTCAGAGAGATGCGGTGGTAGTTTGTTAATGTTCCCACCAATTATCATACGTCTAGGAGTAAACGTCATCTATAACCTCGCTACGTAATTTAATGGCAGTAGTCTTGGACATTAGAATAGATACTTACTGCACACAACTGAGATCCCTACTTTGAGAATCAAAACAAGCGATTAAGGTTTTCAGCAAATACAAATAGAAGTGAACACACGAATATAAACGGTTTTGTCTTTCAGCAAAGACAAGAAACATCGAAACAATGACTGTAAATAGTAAGGATTTTCATTAAAGACAAGGACAATTTAACACTCAAATAAGTATCTCAGGCAAAGACATTGGGAATTGAACAGCCGAATATAAAACGTGAGGAACTTAAGCAAAATCAAGAGGACAGTAACACCCGAATAAAAAAAAAATGTTAAATATCTTAAGCTAGATTTTATTTACGTATTTTTGGCGTTTTCTTTTTATTATTTTGTTTAATTCAACGACTGATTTTTCTTCTGTTTGTTTATTTTTTGAGCTGAGAGTTGGCATTTCACCGGTCCGCCATTTGGCACGCGTGTTTCCATGACCGTGAGGAAATTTACAGTCGACTTGTTGAAGTAGGAAAAAGGAACATGGCGGAATAATAAAAACACGCGAATCGTCATTAAAACAACGGGGTCGATTTCCGTGATAGTCAAGGGTTAAGCTACTGAAAATGATGCCCCAGGGGTAAAGGGCTCCAAAGAGCGGATTCTTTGGCTAACCGAGTATAGGAAACTGAATTACAAGAATTAATTCAGCAGAAAAAACACCTTACAATAATAATAATAATAATAATAATAATAATAATAATAATGATAATACCAAAGTTCACCATTGCAGTAAATATTTAATGTAAAAAATATACGAACGCACCCGCGCGAGCGCACACACACACACACACACACATTATTAAACATCTTCTTTGAGTATATGAATATTCAGGCCGGTAAATGTATTTAATACTGTTTAATTAAAACAGAACATTTACGCAAATAAATATATTAAAATATTTCTCGGATTTAATCTATTTTATCTAATATGTTGTCACTGTTTACGTTAAATTGCGTTTTGGGGCAGAAATGATATATCGTGAGATATTGTCGAAGATGTTTGCTTATTAGCAGTAATTTGGACCTTGCTCACCGGAAAGTTCCCTGTGACTGAATGGTTAACAGCACGTCAGGCGAAATCAACGTTTCCTAATACGATACAGGTTAGATTTCAGTCGGAGAATGAAAGTTCTACCAACATTCTGACCGGCAAATATAATCAATACTGTTTAATTAAAGTAGACCATTTACCCAAATAAATCGTACCATAAAAAATAACGTGTAAAAAGAATATATATATAATGCAAAGGTTAATGATTTAAATGGCGAGACATCCATCATCGCAAACAATTCAAATAATATACAAAAACCTCCGAATCCGTTATGAATGAATTGATCCTTGTTTATATAAATTTCTGCCGTATTAGTTCTTATTTTTTACTACAAAGCTTTCGTCTGTTCCTACAGACATCTTCAGGTATGGAATAGATGTTGTTCTTGTTTTTTTCTCTTAGTAATAAGAGGACAACGAAAATATATGTATTATTGTATCCGAAAATGCTATTGAAAATGAGTTATTGTTTTTTTGGAGCGCGCCAAAGCAACGCTTTGTTTTTGATTTTAAATTTTTTGAATTTGTTTGCGATTTTATGACAAAAAAAATTTATATATATATATATATATATATATATTTTATATATATATATATATTTTTCAAAATATTTGAACTATATTGTTCATATACAAAATAAATAAATACCCATACATTTATTAATAGAAAAATTCGAGGAAGAATCCAGTTATTTATATAACTCAATAAATATAAAAATAATATATAATAAAATATTTGAATTATTACATGGTATAATTTATTCCTTTGTGAATTTTAAATACGAATATCCAATTCATTCAAAAAAATTCAAAATTAAACAGAAAAAAACCAACTCAATATATATATATATATATATATATATATATTATATATATATAAATATATATATATATATATATATATTTAAAAATATGTTGAT